GATAAACTGCATCCGCGTCCTGGGTAAGACGATAAACTACGTCCAACAGCAAGGCTTCTGATCAGGAGTTTTTGAGGAGTGTGGAACCACTTCTTAATTGCTGGTGTTCCCAGGTCCACCCTGACCCGAGGTGATAGCACCTGTTAGGGTCCCAGCTATGGGCAAATAGTTAACACTCAGACTACATCCACGTCCGGGGTATGACGATAAACTACATCCGCGTCCTAGGTAAGACGATAAACTATGTCCAACAGCAAGGCCTCTGATAATATGTTTTTGAAAAAATAATGTTGCCAGCTGTACGTTTTTGAAAAAATAATATTACCAGCTATACATTTTTGAAAAATAATATTACCAGCAAAACGTTTTTGAAAAAGAAATATTACCAGCTATACGTTTTTGAAAAAAAAAATATTACCAGCTATAAGTTTTTGAGGAAAAATATTAACAGAAATAGGTTTTTGACAAAACAAAATTATTAACAGAAAAAAATAAAGTTGTCGGCATTAAATGACCCATTGTGTTTGATATGCCGTAAAACCAAACAAACCAAACAAACCAAAGAGAGGGCGGTGATCTCCCTTTTCTCTCCATATGTGGTCAGCCACGCCTGATTTTCCCAATCCCCCTCCACATATGCTAAGCCACAAAAATCTACTGGGCCGACCAAACATAGAAATGAATACAATATGGGAACCAGTAATAAGGAGTGCCAGAGAAAAGAAAAAATTGCAATATAAACTCTGGTAAAAACATGGAATGATAACAGCAAAAATTGCAATATGAGCACTGTTAAAAAAACGGTGGCTGATGACATTAGCTTTATAATACCCAGAAATTCATACAGATGTCCTCAAGGACACATGGCACAGTGGATGAAGGTGACAGGACCAAAGTATGTGAGTTCAATACCCGATTAAGGGGAGGATTAACAGGAGACAACTGACATCCATTAGCATGTGGTACTAGAGAACAGTCTACCCCAGTAAGCTAAATAAAGGGATCAGTTCGACATTCCAACCACCTGAAGAAGGCCGGAGCGTACAACGTTGTGATATAAATATGGCAACAAAGATGAGGACAATAGTCCGAATAATGTAAATAGTGTACATAATATCTATCTCTGAAATATAGACAGAGATGATAAGTAATGTGTTAGAAACTCCTCGAGAGGAATTTACACACGGTATTTACTTGACATACGAAATCTTCCAAACTACATTAAACATATGAAACATTTCAAACTACGAATATTCAATTTCAATCAATGGAAATTTAATTACAAGCATTACGGAACATTCAACTCTTCTAAAGCTAAAAGTTTACTCAACGTATTCTCAGCTTTATAATTCTTTCAACTCTCTGACAGTGAACATTTTGAGCGGCAAGTTCATTTAACTTTTGTGAGCAAGGATAAAAATATTTCATTAGTAAAAAGTTTAATTCAGTCGAAGGGACATAACACCAACAAAGATAATAACCCCTATGCTTGTACATCATTAAATATAAATATTGTTGTTAAAACCGTTTTGTGTTCCTTCTTGTTGTTTCTCTTGTTGCTTTTGCTTACACATTCGTAAAGTAAAAAAAAAAAAAAAAAAATTCATTTTAATTCATGAACGTTTGTTCATTTGTATATTGCGTATCCATAAACTAAATATTGCCAAAAAGTACAAGAAATAATCTTAGTATCTGTATAAATTTTATTTATAAAATTAATTGTATGTTGTTCGATGGTTGATATCAGTTTAAGATAAAAACACCTACAACCAAGTACAGTATTTGATGACAATTCCCATTCCCAACTAGCTTAAAATATCTTCCGAACGATATATGCAATATCTGCAAGGCTAACCCAAACACCAGAGACTACGAGTACTTATACTTAACTTAATTCTTTACAGTATTAAAGTAATAAAAAAATTAATTAATTTAAATTAATTTAAAAAAATATATATATTCACATTTAAAATAACTTAAACAGCTTTAAAGTTTATTTCGTCTGCTTTCTCCCAATTTATGGATAATAAAAATATTTTTATATATAAAAAAAATTGCGCAAAATAGGATCCATATCAATAACTGAGAAAGATGAATAAAAATATATATTAATGATTTGTCTTTTTTTATTTAACTTTAGAAATAACTTGAGTGCCTAAAAATACGAGTTTCACTCAATGTTTTTTCTTTTGCTGTTGAAGAAAGCACAAAATTCATACCGCTGACCTATCAATTAATATTCTATCTTGTTTAGCTATTAATAACGGCTACATTAAATAGTTTTACTAGTTACATCAGCTTTACGTAATTGCATATTCTACTGGAATCTTTGCAGAGTAAAACATTAATTTCTAAGTACAAATCCTGTTAAATTAGATTCAGGAATTGTATTTAATTTTTGTAGCAAATGTATCTTGATTATCAAAGATTCTGCAACGTCAGAGCTAACCACTATGGATTATATAGGATATACAATGTTGCCAAGGAGATTTGAATTTAAACTATTTTTACCAGAATTACCCTTCATTGTTGTTTTTTCTTGTTACATAAATAATAGTTCTACCTTGGAATTTTTTCACTAATGCGAAAACATCACTTGCGTAGTACTGGAATTGAAACACAGAACTCTTAATCTAGTCTCCAGTGCTTCAACCATTTAGCTGGTTGAGCAGTTAGAATCAGTTGGGTTTTTGTAATCGCTGTTACTGTTGCTCTTGCAAAAGCAAGCTACCTTTTGCATCATACTCATTTCATTGATAATGATCGCCAATTTTTAGAAAACGGTATGCAGTTCTTTAGATGGTCGATGTCCAGGTGGACAAAGATTCAGACAAATCAGCTATTTTAATAATTCGAGAGTCAAATGATAACACTTGGTCAGGTCCTATTTTCATATTGGCTCGGGTATATTTCAGGAATTGTAAAAGGCCGGAGAAGAGAAAAGGGCGGGGTTTGGTAAATATTTTTATTATTTTTTCAATATTTTTTTTACTGAACTTCGATCTTTCTTTTTCTTTCTCTATCTGTGTTTACGCATGTGAGTGATGAGGTTGTACGACGATAGATACAAGAAGACTAATCAGCATATCGTCACTGATACTTTAAGAAACACGCGTTGTAAGTTAGAATTATATATATATATATATATATATATATATATATATATATGTGTGTGTGTGTGTGTGTAAACATATTATGGAATTAGTCTTTCAACAGAACTGTAAGTCTCATGAAACTGGAATATGTGTTCTTTTTTATAAGAATTTGAAGCAAGTGATGTGAAATATTCTGAATAGGTTTCATCGATTGAAAAAAACAGTAAACATTAAAATTAAAATTCATGTTTCTGTTATTCCAACCAGAAATTTGTTTTTATCTCATGGTCGTTGCTATTTTTCTTTTACTCATTCTTTTGTTCGAGAGAATACATACTGTAGTGTCATCTCAGCAAAATTATATTATTTCACAATACTTCAGTTACCCAGAAAGGTGTGTAGTTGGATCAATCGCTTACATCATAAGCGCTAGGTAAAATATATAATTAGGTGGGGGAGGGGAGAAGGAGGAGGAAGAGCTGAAAGGAGAGAATTAATATTAAAATTTATTCTTCGTTTGACATTTTAACATTCATTTTCGATAAATTAATGCAAATCAAGTTGTCCATTTGTTTTATAGAATAAAATGAAAATTTTAATTAGCAAAATTAATATGTACAGATTCATATCTCCCTATAAGTTGATTATTGTCGGAGAAATATCTATTTGCATAATTTTCTGGTATTCGAATATCGCTATCTTTTCCTTAATTTTGTGAGGGTGGTGTAATGAATGATGGTTTGAAATAAAAAAATCAGAGAGCCGAGTTCGAATTCTAATCGGGTTCGGTACATTCACTTACGCTTGGAAAAAGGTATGAGTCCAATTGTCCCTCCCTATGGGTTATAAAGTAAGACTTGGAGCTGGAAAATCATTGTTATTCTCAAAAATTGTTCATACAATATTCACTCGCAAAACAAAAAATAATTATTCTTGCAACCCCTAAAATATGTTTAGGGTTTAAATAACCCATAAATGGATGGTAAACCGTAAAAACTAATCAATCGGTTATTAAGCTTAATATGGGCTTTTTTTTATTCTAATTAGTTAACTGTATAAGAAAGTCGTTCAAGTTACTGACGGTCAAATTGAAAATGATGCGTGCATACTTTACTGAAGTCCACACAACTGTAATTCTGTGTGTACAACTCGAAAAATTCTGAGCGAATTCGAAACTCCAGGTGAAAATGAATTAAGCCTAATCGACAAAGAACAAAGTGATGGCCATGTATTATAAAAAAAATGTAATATAAGTTAACACACATGTAACCTGAAAAATACCTGAGAATTACTAAATAGTCAAAACGCTTCTCTATTAAAACAGCTAGCAACACGTCATTAATTAGTGCTATACCACATCCAATTCTTATTAATGTACTTGTAACTTCAGTAATAGTCAGCAGGCATAACTGTTTTCACATATACATTCCACCTCGCGTTTGTAGTCAGTAGTTGAATCCATGTAAAAAGCCGAATATTTTATGACCACTTTTGTAAACATTTAGTCCATTCTCATAGATTCGGAAATGTACTCAAAAATATGAAATACCCAAGTAAGCTTTCTGTCAATGGATTAATCTTAACACTCAAAAAAACAAAACGAACCCCCCCAGCCCCCAAAAAAAAAAATCCCCAAAAAGAACTAACAACAAAATATATCTTATGATATCAAGCAATGCCTGTGTATGAAATTTTTAAAGTAGCAGAAAACATTGCACTGGGTCAATGCAACTTTCTGAACAGGAACATCATATACCCAAAAAGAAGAATCAGTCAAAGTCATTAAATGCTATCAATCAAAAGTGTTACATCATTTTTTCTTCTACTTGGATGCCTTAATGAAGACTAAAGTGTCCAACATTCCCAGTGGGCATACCCAACGCTTGGACACCAACCCAAATATTTTTACATCCCAGTTACTCTGTGTGTGTGTGTATGAGAGAGAGAGAGAGAGAGAGAGAGAGAGAGAGAGAGAGAGAGAGAGAGAGAGAGAGAGAGAGTTTTTAGCCTATGTAATATAAACTATTTTATAATCTTTATTCCACTGAATCCACTTACCTATACATATATACATAGAGACATATTTAAATAATGTGTGTTTAGATAGCAGTTTATCATTGATACATGTTTAATTAAAAACTGCAGACAATGATGAAACAACCTTTTTAGTTATCATATCTAGTTTACTTACAAGAAATCATACGTTTTCGTTCACTGAATATTTTGGCTATATGTAAGGTTAGTTGTTGGCAAAGCAGAGTTCTAACGTTAAAGAAGATTTTGTTTAGATTCGGATCCGTTTTTTTTTTTTTTTTAACATTATGGTTAGGATTATAAAAATTCTAACTATAATGACGATGAAGAGAAAATAAACGAATTCTGAACATCAATTTTAATGAAGAACAACTAGAAATGTATTCTCTATGATAAATCAAAACGTCACACTTGCATGCTCATAGCGGAAATAAGATATCCGACGACAGACAGACTAGAATATTTTCAAGATATAAATGATCTTTGATTGTTCAATCTACCTAGTTGTAAACAGATAATGGAATCCATATATAAACTGGTACCATTTGATACTGAAAGAGACTATAGCTAGCACTTGGGTTGCTATCAACATTTTACAAAACACATTGATAGGTTAAATGTTGAATATCTTTAGTAACATCGACGAGTTCAAGATCAAAGAATCACAAGTGAAAAAGTAACTTTCTTTGTTAATAACTGCATATTTTGCAATAATATAAAAACGTCTGATTGCAGAACAATAGAATGCAGACATATAACTTCATTCAAAATGAATATGCATAAATGAAGAGTGATAAAAAGTTGTTTGTAAGAAATGAGATATAATGAATTTGCTTCAGAAAAGAGATTTCTATCCATGCATTCATTTTTTCATGGGGACATTTTTTTTAATTCTAATTTAGTTGACTGTACCAAAAATCTGGTACGTCAGGGGTAATACGAAATTCTCCCAAGAAAATCACGGAGCACGTAATAGATCTTTTGATAAAGTGTATGTGATAATAACAGAATAAATAATGCAGAAGAAAAGAGTTTTAAAGTTGAGTGGTTTCCTTAGCACAGAGATTAAAAGCTTTAGAGAATACAGAATTCGCCACTCTTTACTGTAGGAGTGAGAAATTAGAGAAGAGCATTCTGTAAGCGAGAAAAAAGGGCAAAATTCATATTACAATACTTATATGAACATAGAAACATTAATATATTCTTTTTTGTTCTAGGAAGCAATACAATTTTGTTAGAATTGTCCCACATATTGCTAAATTCTATTCATGGTGCCTTCAATAAATGAGTTAATGTAGCTTCTAACTACCGAATATCTAGATATAACAGATGAAATTACTCCACTAAAGCTAAATAATTTTCTGATGTGTGTTTTCATCGGAAATATATTAGAAGATACGTCTATACAGACAAATAGGTCTCAGTTGATGAAGACATTTGTAAAGCAGTTACATATTGGTAATGAAAGTTACCAAACACATTCTTGTTTCTATGAGTTTGCATTACCCGTGCACAGATAAATAGCTGACAACATTAATGAACCGGTTAAGTCATTGTGAAAGCCATTCTTTTTCTGTAGAGCAGGAAACTGCTATTGATAAATCATTAGAGGACACGTCATCATACCTCGACACCACGCATTATAAGTTATTATGATATGCCATAACTCTTACATTAAGATTTTGACGATTTTGAGCAACTGGTAAACACTATCAAAGGTTCCACTGCTCACTGGGGATTCAGAATATCATGGCAGTGTAGTCTCTGATGTACCAGCAATGTCCAGGAGTAAAGATCATTCTTTAAATCTTTCAGTCGCAATACTGTGTCGGTCAACAAAAAAGATATAAACTGGTAAGGGAAAATATCTACTGATAAGAACATTACATGATTGTTTCTTAAGTAAAAATAGGTTTCCTTATTGCCAACAAGTAGTAGCTTAGGATAACCACTGTTACAAAATCTAAACCAACAAAATTGACAACAACTGACAATTTTCCAGTAATTAACCATTGAATTATATAGTAGAGAACAATCGAAGACTGACCACGTAATGTAGATGAAGCACAAAATAAATACATATACAGCGACAACATTTGATCTTGGAGTGTGTATTAAAGTTTTCCCACTAATTTGGAACAATCCTACAAAATACAAGCACCATATCTTCATGAATGACATATTTCACTTGATTTGTGCTTATCTGAAAAAATAATTGAAATTTAAAAGCATTATGAAAAGGTTACGTTTTCTCAGAGACCTGTTGGAAGAGGATTCTATTAGAACAGTTTTCAATCAAGGAAAGAGTTGATAGACTGATAGAGAAATTCAAAGAGAAGTTGAACACTTACATTCCTTCCAAAGACTTGCTGAAGGAAATTTGAAATGAAGAACATACAAGAAAGTATTTTGTTTACAAAGGAAGGAGAACTAAGAAAGTCTGCTGAGATTTAGTTGTCCTAAATGCTGCATAATTAGCTGATATCTTTTATTCAGGCAGTGAAGAGGCGGGGCTCTAAACAAACTATTTTCACCATCGACTCGGAACCGTCCCGAAAAATAAGTTTAATTGAAATCAAAACGTTGATTCTTCTTTTAAGGTTTGCTATCATTTATAGATGTTAGGAGCATAATAAAACACTATTAACATGTTTTGGGATTAAATATTTATTTTGATTCATTCAAATTTTAAACTGTGGTTTCCGTTCCTTGCCGTCACTATTCACTACTTGATCACTGCTTTTCTGGATCATATTGCTGAGTAGAAGGCACATCAGCAGAGTTGCACATTTCAATTTAGTTTATGATAAATAGAAAACATTATATAAATAGTAATTGTTTATGGCTTATTAAAATATTTTTAACAAAAAATGACAGAAAATTCACAGATAAATAAGTTCTTTGCTTTCTTTATTAAAGCAAAATTAGTTCTTACAATTAGATCCGAATGCTTTTCCCATTTAGAGGTAAATAATAAAAACATATAAATCTATCTTCTTCAGTTTTGATCGATAAAATATTCAAAGTATCTTACTTTTTTCCCTGTTCATAGGCAATTTGAAAGTTTTCTCGCGAAATAATCATTTAGCGTTACTAAAAAGTGGTGCTATCAATATTGCAAGTACTTTCATTCTTCTTACCAGAAGATGATGAATGAAGTCTTTATTTTGCTAAAAGCGAAGCTGGAGAAAGTGATTTTTGTGTCATAGCGATTGATGGGGATTATGATACGTTTAAGAGCTGAGTATGAACAAACCATGAAAGATCAAAGTATACAGAATAATTCGGAACCCGATATATCGCACAGAGACTTTCGGCCTGCAAAAATTCAGAAGAGTGATTGGGAAATCTGTGAGACATTTGATCCATTAGGCGATTAATTGATGTATTTTCTATAAATGATAAAGAATATGTTGTATTTCTTCAGGTGCTTGTGATCGTGTCGAAACTGAAGATGACATCCTCACGGTTGAGACACGAGACAAAGAAGCTTTCATAAGAGGGAGACTGGAAATGCATGAGAAATTCTTTGAATCCCTAAAAAGATTTCATTTGAAAATAGTAGAATATATAGGAAAGAAAGGGAAAGTAAAATCTGCTAAGAATAAGGCAGAATAGGTAACAAGGAAATATTTCAATGCAATTACTAGTTCAGTTACAAGAAACAGGTATGATGATTGATATCGGAGATCCAATGAAAAACCCTGTTACTCTAGTTCCATTCGATATTGGTTCGGGCAACGGCTGTTTAGTAAAACCTTACACCACAAAAGGAATAGAATACTATATAGAAGGGAATGATCTTGATCAAGTTCCAGCACAAGAAAGAAAACATTTATAGCTGAAAATGAAGATTTAAAATAGATACCCGAGAAATTGTTTAATGTGATGCTTTAGAAAGTTGAATTTATTTTCAGTACAGTTATCTATTCGGAAAAAATCATCTAAAAGTATGGAAAGAGCAAGTTGAGGTGTGAAGAAAGACTGTGAGAATATCAAGAACCTGTAAACCGGAAATCTCTCTCGACAAATAAAGACAACAAAAAACAGTGATTCCTCTACTAAGAAATTAAAAGGGAGACAGGTTATACCTATCTATCAATACGATGGCCATCTTTTTGCATCAGAGGATAGAACAAAAGTGAAAACTGATACTGAAGTTTTGAGATCAACTCAAAAAGAAACAGATACAAGAATCGAGTTTTACTGCTTGTATGAAAAAGGAACATAGTTAAGAGATTATGCACGTGACAATTTGAGACAGCGGCACTTTCTCTATTCTTTTACATTATCGGCAGACTTAAGGTGCTTCTGTCTTATTCGATACTAATCCAGGGGACTATAGAAAATTAATCAAAGCAACAGCTATTTCTAATGCATATACAGATAAATATCGTTTAGCTCTTTTCTTTCATGCATATGTGCGGTTGTGATTTTACAAGTGCATTCAAAAGAAAATGCCATGCAACGCCGATAAAGGCATTTGTAAGGCGATTAATGGTTCTGACTTTACTTTCAAGTCTGGAAATCTCTTGGGACGTAACAAGTAACCTCATAAATGAACTAGAAATCATTTGCGCCATTTATGGCAACTTTATATTCCTATCAATTGATAACTCGAGACTGTTGGAGATAAAGAACAAGTCTGAAATTAAACTCATAGGTATATGATGCACAATATTGACCTAGGAAGTGTCTGGTTCAACAATGACTTATTAGGTGGGAATTTGGAAGAGTTCTCAAATAACTGATCCAGTTATTTCTGCACTTTCTGAAGAACACTGATGGACATTAGTAAATGGATTTCTTGAACGTCTGTGGATAGAAAGAGATTTACTTCTAGCACAGATGTAGATACTGTAGTGGAAATACTTGAAGCATGGGATGGGGATAAAGAGATGAGACAGAGGAAAATACTTTTGAGCGATTGGGCTTATTTAATGAATGAATGCAAATGTGTTTGAAATATGCATA